TTGTCAAAGTAGGGCATAGACTAAAAGAGCAGTTTAATATTATTGAAAATGCTGAAATGAAATTCACAAGGAAAACCTATTGTGAGAGTTTTGGCCTTTTGGAATGTCAATTTCCAGCTTTCTGCAGGCATGCTACTTGTTTACCCTGATGAACCATAAGGCTTTGTCCCTGAAGATTTGTTTTTACTTATTAACAAGGATACCTATAAGGTCATGGCAATTTGTACTTGGGCTTCTGGTGGCTTTCAATGATATGATTCTAGCATCTAAGTTTTTTTTACTGTGGATTCCTGTAACACCAATTCACATCCTTATTCATTATTTTAAGGATATATTCTTTCTTTTTTTATCATCAATTAATGTTCTGTTGATTCTTTTAAGCATGTGTTGCCTCATGTAATGTCTCTCTTGGTGCACATGATAGGTGATCATATTATAGTTATGACTGATTGATGTACCTCAAATTTTCAGGTTTAAAAGTTGAGCTTGCTGTGCTGTCAAACAATGAATTTGGAGTTGTACAAGATGCTCACCATTTTGATTCAATGGGTGCTATAGGTAATTCTGGGTGTTTTAAGTGCTCTGATTTACATTTGCATGATGTCAGTCTCTCTGATGTATTATGTTTACTTTTCTAAGTTGCTTCTTATTGGAAGATGATGCCTCAATCTGAGTTTCAATGAATCTTAACAAGCATGAACTTCTATTAGCTTCAGTGTGTATTCTTTGTTGACCAAGAGAATAAGTTTAAGCCATAAATCTTAATTATTTTGCCTCCATGGTTCTTTTTTTGAGTGTGTCTGTGTGTTTTGATATTATGGTTTTTCTATTCTAATTACACTGCAAGCATGCTTGTAGATTCGCTTACTCAGCACAAACGTATTCCTACATTTCTCTTGCCTATTGATTTTATCTGAATACAGTTTGCATATCCATACTTGTTGCATTGAACTTTTACTGTGCAGTATCAGGAATTGCTTGCTGCTTCACTTGTGGTGGAAACAGACAAGGTGCTTCATGATCCTGCCATTCATCCACGATCAGACTTATCAAAGGAACTATACATGAAAAAGGACGAGCAGACTACTGGGGATCATTTTCATTAGAAGCTTCTCAAGTTGAAGGATTTGATGAAAGCGAAGGTAAACTCAGCATGTGTATGCAAACAGCCTCGTATTTGTAATTGGATTACTGATACTTGTTAGCCTGTCTACAACATACGTAAAGATGGTATTGTAAATCTTTTGTGTACCAATATTTAGCATCCATGGAAATTTCAGGCTGGCCAAAAGAGAGCTGAGAGTAGGCATAAGTTCATGGAAGACTTTCTGGAAGAGTTTTGTGGAGAATGGGATGGGAGAACTTGAATAAGGTAATTATCCTCTGTTCACATGTCTCATCTCATTCTCAGACGCTTGAAAATACTAAAAGATACAACATCGAAAACAGATGTGCAAGAATGTTTCCTTTCTAATTGTCTTTGTTTAAGACATTCATATTGCCGAGTTTAAAGAAAAATTGGCTTTTCTCTGAAAAAAAAAAATCAAACCACAACTTCTCTCCGCTTTCCCTTAGTTCTGCTCCCAGATGCTCACTTTTCTTCATTGTTTACAAAAATTACCTATAAATACTTCTCTATCTGCAGATTTTTACCATAAAGATTCCTGGTATTGGTTCAGAATCAGCTTATTGAATGAATGTAACCGGCTTATTTTCTAAGTTCTGCATCATAAGAACATGAAAGAATTTGAATCCAACTATTTCAAGTTAGAAGTTTTATGTTCTACCGTGATTCAATCATAGAATAACTAATTTCGTGAGGAATTGAAAATTTTTTGTCAACAGATAAAACTGAAAATGAGGCTGATTTTTAGTTTTTTAATTATTATTATTATTGCTATTATTTATCAATACAGATACAATACAGCGTTTTCTCAGACCATGAAAAATGAAATCAACAACAAAGTCCATTATTGTTTGAAAATGTAGCCATCCTTAAAACATCACTAGATGCCTCTCATCACTCAACACAAATTCAACAATATGTAATTCAATGCCAACCCTGAAAAATATTAACATGATTATTTTCACAAGGAATATCACTTATAAAAACATTATTAATTATTTAATTAATTAATTAATTGATTGATTGATTCTTGACTTTCAGGAATTTCTGAATCTCGGATTCATCCCGTTTGATTAGGTTCACCTTCAAGCCATGCTTCATGTACATGGTGAGGGCGAGTTTGGGAGCCACAGGATGATTCTTAACGACTTCCACCTTGTACCGGAGTATGATTGAGGCGGCAGCAAACTTCATTTGGTAGTAAGCAAAGTCCTTGCCGAGGCAGAGGCGAGGGCCACCGTTGAAGGCGGTGAACTTGTAGGCGGACTCACTCATGAAGCGGCCGTCCCGGAGCCACCTCTCTGGCTTGAATTCCCGGCAGTCTTTCCCCCATATGGCTTCCATTCTTCCCATTGAATAGATGGCGTAAATCACTTTTGTTCCTTTCTTTAGAACTGTCCCGTCCGGAAAGATGTCATCCTCAACAACCTTGACAAAGACTAGTTAGATGTAAAAATATAGATATAACAATTATAGAAATTTTGAGAATGGATATATTGAATTCTTAGGCAGTTTTTAGGTTCCCGCCTTCAAATTTATTTTGTGTACTTCAGGTCAAGCCAATTTATTATCCTTCATCCGAATGACATGAACCCGAAAATGACATGACTTTCAATACAGAAACAACAAAAAAATCTGAATTATGATTCTTATTTTTTAAGTTGACGCTTACACTTCTTTTTTTGGTACAGACTCTTACACTTCTTTTCTTATAATAAAAACTGATAATGGTTATATATTATTAAATTAATGAGTGTATATTTAGTAAAAAAAAATCAATCAATCATATTTTTATCATTTAAAATCGCAAAATTTAATTGTGAAAGAATATTATGATTTAGTATTTTCTTTCTTTAATCAAATCATCTAGGGGATCAACTTGTATTTCTTACATTTATTTTATAATTAGACAAAAAAAAAAAAAAACTATGGTTAGGTAAACAAGAAATTGACCAGAACATTTCTAATTTACCCAAAAAAAAAAAAAAAGCCCAGAACATTTCTAAACCTTAAAGGACTAGACAATTCTTAGGATATAACTAATCAACTATACAACGAAATATGAATACAAAGGGTAAGTTTGGTTTGAGGGATTCATCTAAATAAATGAAAGTAAAAAATAAAGATAAGATTTTTTTTTTCTATTTGTTCAACAAAATAGAAGAATTTTGTTCTTTCTCCTTAAATCAAATATACTTAAAAGGAAATTTGATTATTTTTTTAAAATGTTTTAAACAACCCTATGGAAAAATGTTTAAAACAAGAAATATTAGATAATAAATTAAAATAAAATTCAATAATTTTAGTATTTACCTCTTTATGGTCAACAGGAACGGAGGGATACAAACGCAGAGCTTCTGATAAGGAGGCATGAAGATAATCCATCTTCTTGATCTCCTCCGGTCGGAATATCAATTCGTTACTGTTCTTCAAGTCTCCATTTCTCATATCTCCTCTTTCACCGATTATCTTGCAAATCTCCGATAGGATCTTCTCTTCGATATCTGGGTTTTTGTTGAGCAACCAGAAGAACCAGCTAAGAGCCACCGAAGACGTGTCTCGTCCGGCAAGGATGAAGTTCACGCAGATATCCTGGAGGAACTTGTTGGAAAACGGCTGTCCTTGTTCGTCGGTTAATCCCATGAACACTGTCAGGAGATCAGACCTCTGTTTCTTGTTCTGTTCTTTCAAAGAAAGCTCCTTTTTCCTTGTCCGGATGACTTCTTCGGCGAACTCATCCACTCCTTTTATTGATGTTTTAAGCTTCTTCTCAGTCCCCAAGTTGAAGAACTTCATGGTTTTCCACACGCAGGTGGGCATGACAAAGCGCATGACGGTAGCCTCTGTCGCGTCCTCGAATGCTTTGGCGAAGGGTATTTCGGGCAAGTCCGGATGGAGGCACCCAGGGTCGACTCCAAAGGCGATCATGCAGACGTTATCGAAGGTTAATCGTAAAAGTATGTCTTGGAGATCTACCGAGATGGAGTTCTTCATTGCCTTTTCGAGGACCGGCAGTAATCTTTTGTGGACGAGCTCGAGCAGTGACTCGGTGGTGAGTTGGCGGAACTTTGCTGAGTGGAACTCGATGCTCGCCGTCTTTCTCTGCCTCTGCCATGTCTCATCGTCTGCGTTGAATATCCCATCTCCAAGAAGGTCCCTCATGGTGTCTCGAAAATACGGACCTTTTGGGAAGACAGAGAATTTTGTCTTGAGAAGATGCTCGAGATTGCGTGGATCTGAGGTTACCACACACTGGAGGCTGCTAAACCACGGACCCTTGAAAATAAACGTCCCATTTTGTCGGCGAAGGACGTCTGAGATCCACTCATACATGTTGCAACGAAGTCCCGCTACCAACGATGGCAGCATCCCTAGAAACGGCCATACTGGTAGGCCTTGATGTTTCCCCTGTCTCAGAGAATGAATGGTAACGAAGACAAGAACAGCAAGGAAAAGTTCAATGATTTGTAAGTCTTTCAAGAAGAAAAGCTGCCGGGAAATGAAATCCTCCCCGTCGGAGGTTGAGGAAGTAAAATTCATGGTGGGAGAATTAAGGTTGATCATGGTGTTGGAATGACGATGGTAGAAAATAAGGGTTCCAATGCATGGGAAGATATAAGGTTGGTTGATGGAGTTATATGCAAAGTTGCATGAGTTTCTTGGCGTGAGTGATTTGGCCCAATTGGTACGGTTTGGTGAGCAGAATTAAGAGTGGTGCCTCTTTCTCTTTCTCCTTATTTGTGTGAATGTACCCGATTTGATTCGAGGTCTTTTTCTTGAAACGGTAGGTTTTAAGAAGTGTTCGGATGGAGGGAAAATGTGGGAGCATGTTGTGAGGGACATATGGGAAATGCTTGAGTGTCAACTAAGAGTACTAACTACAAATTAATGGGTGTGTAGCTGGGGGGGGAGTAAGATGGAAGGTTGGTGGGGACGGTTAACCTAAGTTGCAACTATTTTCCAATGTTTTCATTTTTGCCAAGGTTTTGGCCAATTGGGTAAATTTAAGTATTTTATTATTAAATTGGTTAGATTTTAAGTTATTCTATTTGCTTTGGCACATAGAGTATTTGTATGTCGGGCGATGGTATTGGTGGGGTCACCTACATTCTACCGGCCTATGTCCCAACCTGCCTTGCCACGTGACAACGACCCAGTTTGTCTTCTTTATATTTTTTAGAATCTGCTGGACCTTTAAACTCCCACTCCCACCCATACAATAGTATTATTATTATTTTGGCCGAATATACAATATTATTATTTTTTAATTGAGATTTAATAGCTTGCTACGGCAGGAATTTTTATTTTTTTTATCAGCAGGTATTGTGGGAATTTAAATTTATCATTAAGTATGTATTTGCAATGTGGTTTGTGAGAAAATGGGTAAATAATGTTATTAATTTTGTATTTTTTTACTTAAAAATGTTAATTTTGTTAAATTTTAAATAAAAATATTAATTTTTAATTTTTTAATTTAAAAATATTAATTTTTTTATTTTTTATTTAAAAATCAATTAAATGATAATGTTGATGTGATAATTTTAAATAAAAAATAAAAAATTGACATTTATATTTAAAAATTAATAAAATTAATATCATTAAATAAAAAAATACAAAATTAATATATTTATTTACACATTTTATCACGGTTTGGTTCAATCTAATTTTTAACAATTTTCAAACTAAACCAATTTAATCAGGCCCTTTTTTTGGCAGCGGGAGGGGTGGCTAATCGTCCCTGTTTAGTATAATTTTGGTTTTAGGTTTTTTTATTTTTATTTATATATTTAGTAATTGATACTATATTTAAATTTAATTTATTCAATTTGAATTTTTATAACAATTTTTAATTTTTAAGTATATAAAAAATAAAATTAACACCCAAAACCAAAACCTTACTAATTGGAGTGTAAATTAATAAAAATCTCAAACCAATTTAATTTATTCATGAACTTAATCAAACGAATTTATTGAATCGGATTGATTGATTTGTAATATCTTTTTTGAATGGTACCTGAGATCAGGCAGATATAGAAGAGAAAATGTCATTAACTAAAATCATGAAAATTAATTAACTACCTTATGCTAATTACCATAAAAAAAAAAAGTTACCTTACATGTAAAAGTAAAAGCATTTTTAAGATAAAATATATGTTAAGGATTTGTTTAAAAATGTTTTACATGGATTTTTTTTTCACACAATTTCTTACTTAAAAGAGTAAATTTATTAATTCTTAATTAATTTTAAATAATATTTTAATATTTATACTATCTTAATTAATATTAGGTTTTAAAAAATTGCGCTACATGCAATTTGTATGTACTATCCTTTTTTTTTTAGTAATTATAAAATATAATAATATTAATTCATAATTAAAATTAATTTTTAATTAATGAATATATAAATTATTTTAAATACATATTAATTTATTATAAATATAAATCTAACTCCTATATAAATTAAATTTTTTGAGATAAATAGATAGAACAATTCATCAAATCTTCAATTAATTTCATTTATCTTTACATTTGTAACTATTATTATCTATATCTTTTTGTTTTTACCCAATTTATATCCTCTCTATCAAATACCCATATTAGAATATTTTAAGTCAAAATATAAAACATATAATTCATTAATAAGTACTATTCTTTTGATACTTATTCATTTACTTATACTCTATTTTTTATTAATTTTTTATGACATCATCTCATAACTTATTCTCACATATTTTATTATTATATTTATTTATTTATATTCACATTCACTTTCCTTAATAATATAAATAATTTATTTATTATTATTCTTTTCTCCCCTTAACCCATCATTATATGATTTTTTTAATCACTCCTTACATCTCAATCGATTATAATATATATATATATATATATTTTTTTTTCAGTTTTCTCTCACATTTTACCTATAATAAATATATTCTAAGTTTAAATATAAAAGATACAACACAACAACTTTACTAATTTTAATTAATTTGCTATGTATTTTTTACTACTTAAGCCAAACTCATGTTAACGCTATTGCTAGATGATCAGTTGTTCGTTCATCAGAGATTTTGGTTAAAATTTCGAATGTTTCTTTGGATTATGTTGCCGTATTTGTCCCCTTACTTATCTCCCTAATCGCTGTCTGCTCCATGACAAATGACATTTAGCAAGCATACGTTGAGTAAAAGCTTTATAACAATTATTTGGTACGTAACACAAATTTCAAGTTTCACAAATCTTAGACATTTAATTTCCTTCATAAATCAACTGCAAACTGGGCAATTAAGAAAAATATGGTCCAAGTCTTCTAATTTCTAAAGCTATAGGCCACACGACCCACAAATGCAATTATTATCATCCAACAACAGTAGCTTTAATTAGAAGGATTACGTGAATTTATTTTTACAAATATTGTTTGCTGTCACAGATTCATTTTTAGAAAAAAGACCAAATCAACCCTTGTACTCTTCAATTGGTGGCAAATCAGGCCCTTAACTAAAAGCCGTGGCCTTGGACCCCTCGGACTCTTCTTATGTTGGCAAGAAAGCCCTTATTTCACAGCTCCCGCCTTCCGATCAAAACTAACGGGGTGTGTGTTAGGGTAGGACCCAGTGCTGAATTGAAGGATGACCGCGCAACAAAAGTGCAGGTGTGTTATTTAAAATCCTTTAAAACTTGCTGATATGGCAAGATAGGTCCCTCAAATATAAAATGGATTTTTTTGGGACACAATTAAAGACACATTTTTATCATAAATGAATATAAAAAAATAAAAACTAATATTACTTTTTGTACTATTACTATGTTGATAAATTTAATTAGAAACTCCTACTTCTATTTTTTGTTGTTCCCATTCTTTTCATCATTCCCAAATCCTTCCCCCTCAATGGTTGTTTTTCTACCAACCCTAAATAACCAGATAATTTTCAATTACTTTCTTCCTTCTTATTCTCCAAGCATCAAATACGCAACATACTTTAATAGAATGCGTCACGCTTTACATTCCTTCGATTTCCATTCACAATGCAACCCTCATCAATTCTACACCATTGTGCTTAATTACGTAGGTCACTCACAATGTCGTAGACAAGATCATTGTGATTAACAAGGAACTCG